AGGGGAGAAGTGAATTTTTAATTACCGGGAGTCACTGTGCGCCGCAAAACAATTATTTTTCTTACTGCGCTGTTATTTCCATGACAGGTTCTTCTATTTTTCACAGAGATTAAGGGAGGAAAGAGGGACAGTTGATGGGGAATTTAATTCTCCGTCGAACTACTTTTTTTTCATCCCTTAATCTCAATTAGGAGGGGAGACGTGAAAAGTAACTGTGCGCCGAGAACAAAATTATTTTTCTCACTGGCCCATGACTTTGTCGTACTTTGTATTTTTTTGTTACAGAGATTAAGGGATGTAACGGGGATCGATTGATGAGGAATTTAATTCTCCATCACACCCTCTGTGTTTCATTCCTTAATATTAATTAGCCAGCAAATGAATCACCTGAAAAACATTAAGAACATGCTGAGGACGAGGAGGACACAAATTCCACTCCGAAACTATCCCTGTATCAGCGGGACTGCTACTGCCGAGTTACCCGCACAGGCAGTTTGCCCAGCCGTCAGATTCGACCGTGGCGGCATCCCTCCGTTGGGGTCGAACTACTTTTGGCTTGGGGTCAGTCTAACCCCGAGATCTGAGCCTCTACTTTAGTCAATCCTCTTTGGCAATGATAATAGCTTACAATATTACACCTATGGAGAAATCAATGAAAACAGCCTATTGACGTGAATACACTTATTTAATTGACTTTTGGAAAAAGATTATTTATATGGGCAACCAATTTTGTTTTCGCGCAAGAATCAACGAAGACAAATTTTCGTTTTGTCCGAACTGATATTGAATTATCTATTACCATCTGAGCAAAATTACCGACTGTAGAATATCACCAGCATAGTTCCATCGTCGTGCTCAAAGAGGATAGGCCTGTGTAGAGGCCCGGATCGGGGGTTTGACCAGATAATAGGGGAGATTGCTCAGGCTTATCGGGATGGGTCTAAACTAGGTACATCCGCAAATAATGGTACAGGAAGTGGCGGCCATTTTTCTCAGCAGTTTCGGGGGTAGGGCCATCTAGAATCACTGTAGGGAACTGAAAAAGAGAATTTCTTTACCTGTTGTGAAAATTACCGATCGGAGAAGGGAATGCGAGTGTCCTCTATCATAATTTTATTGTAACGGAAAATTTGGATGTTTTATAGATGGCGATAGAAATCCACAAACCATCTTTCAACGTTCTGTCAAGGGGTGCTCATCCTAAAATAATAACGAGAATGTGCATGGAAGCTATGTGCCCCGTTTTTTTCAAATAATTAATTAATTGTTAATGAATTAATTTATTGTATCGATGATGGTTATTCACTCTTTGAATTTAATCAGATATTTTTTTCGCAGTGCTCTATAATATTTCTTATTGCTGCCTTAATTATATATAATTGGATTAACCTAAATTACCGGTGATGGTATTTAAATTTTAAAAAAATGATAAATAAATCGTTGTTCATTCTATCATCCCATACAAATAATTGTTGTTAATGTTTATTGTTAATAATTGGAAAAAAAAATTGGTTTCGGCGAGATTCGAACCCTGAGCCTCCAGCATATAAATCCATAACCTTATCCACTCTGCCAAAGGAGGCCATTTAACTTGCCATTTAGTTTTATCTATAACACGATAATTATTAAATTTTATATTGTTTATGCATATAGTCCACCATAGTTCCAATTAATATCTTGTTTCTTCATTATTGGTGACTATCAAATAATCAAATAATTATTGCGAATAAATATAAATGATCTCGATAGAATCATAGATTGGTTTTCTGCATAAATTTTTTCATCATGTACTAATTAATTGTTTACTATGTCAACGAAGGTTATTACAATATTCCATTCAATCAAATCAATTATTGGAATCTGCCGTGAAGTGTTTTTTAATACCTGGCATTATTTAATTAGATTTGTTTGCATAAAAGTCAATATCAGATATTAATTATAAACAAATCACCAAAATTCCATCATCCCATGAGAAACTATTTGGATTATTACGCTTAATTACTTGTAGTTGAATCATCAGAAATTACCGGTAATGGCATTTGAAATAAAAAACAATTAATAATGAATGGTTGTACACATATTATCATCCCATAAAAATAATTGTTGTTAACGTTTATTGTTGATAAATGAAAACAAAAAAATTAGTTTCGGCGAGACTTGAACCCTGCCCCAAAATATTATGATTCCCATAATATTATCCACTTATTTATTTTATTTTTTTAAATCACTCTGCCAAAGCACTGTATTTGATTTGGAAATTTAATTATGCCTATACGATGGTCGTTATTACTCCTTACTTTTTTTTTTAATTTTCAAAAAATTGAAACGAATAGGGACTTGTATATTAATTTATTTTTTGTATTATCAAACAGTTAAAACAACGGTTGTTATCGTAACGTCACGACCGTTTGCAGGTAGTTTGAAAAACACTCCTTTTCAATGTTCAATTTTTTAAAGGAATTCATGGCGTTTTTTTATTAGAATTCCCTACGGCGAAGTGTAGTACTCCACGCCGGAGTTGAGGGAGGGAGTAGGCGAAGGGGTCGGAGCCAAATAATAATATTAATTTTTGAGAAAAAAAGGATAATTCCTCGGTAGACATTTTCATTTCTTTTATTATGGGAAATTTCCCTCAATTAAAAAAAGTTATGCTCGATTAGTTTTTCACTCCGGATTCATACCCACCAAAGTAATAATCGTATTTGGAGTTTCATTCCTGGAAAAGAGGGGAGTAATTCGGAACAGCCATATAGAAGGGAGGCAGCTCAAGTCATGAACGCCCGACAAACGACCTGACCATGGCAGGTGTACTCGTACAGGTATAAATCGATAGTCCCTACTCAGGAGAACTCAGTCGCAGGACTACTCCTCGCAGTTTCAACATCGTCACCGTCATCATTCAATCGAAATAGTGTTACGTGCATTTTATATTTTTGTAATTGTGTGTGACGTCTCCAGAATGAAAAGACCAAGTACGAGTGTCCTACCTACGGAGATTATTATTCACATATTTAAATACGTTCCCATACTATGGAAGATTAAACTGGAAAGAGGTATGGGCATCTTCTCTCGTTGTCTTTATAGAAAGGGGGGGAACATACCTTCATAGTGCCCAATTGGGACAGTTTCAAGTTGATCGCCAGATATGGGTGAATTCGCCAAACATTGGTTCAATTTAATTACGATTTTTTTTTTTGGAAAAAGGTGAAATAATTGAATTTGAAAAAATAATAATTAATTCGTTTCATTAGTCCTAGACGCTCTGCTAAATTCGAAACTCATCTTAGTTTGCAGGCAATGGCAGGAGGCGAGCAAAGCTTCCTGGAGCGGTATTAGGCGATTAATTGTCGTTTCTCCCCGTCGGCGCAGAAACTCCCTTGGCATATATGTCCAAAATGATGAAATATATGTCTCAAGATATGACCAAATAATGATGGATGCCATTCTATCTCGTATTGGGCACAACATCACCCATCTATCATTTGAGTTGTTTTCTGTCGATCTGGATAAACATTTCTTCCTACTCATCGCGAAACATTGCACCAATGTGGAGAACTTCAGCAGCAGCGGATGGCAGAAATCAGCAGAGCTGAAGCACTTACTTTCTTGCAATACAAAATTAAGATCCATTTACTTGGATGGAGCAGAGGTGAGTTTAAGCGCATTGCAAGGCCGGAACTGGAAATGTTTGCAATTACTAGGTGGCATGCCGATTTGGGAAAAGGCTTCGAAGGAACGAGTAGTGGAACTCATAAATGGCAGTTCCGATTTGGAAGATTTGAGACTTGACACATGGTCGGAAGAAATTCGTGATGCCGTCGTAAAGAAGTCGAAATTGAAGTCCCTGGGTTATTGCGAAGAATTGTTTCGCTATGGTCGACGTCCGGAGTTAATTAATTTCCAGGGAATGCGATTATTGACAAGTTTGGCCCTATGTAATCTCGGGATAAAGGTGGATTGTGCAGAACATTTCCTCAGAATGCTCATCCAAATATCCCTGTATTGTCCAAATTTCCAGGAATTAT